AGCAGGGAGCCCGATGCGGGGCTCGATCCCAGGACCCTGGGATCATGACCTGAGCCGAAGGCAGACGCTTAACGACTGAGCCACCCAGGCGCCCCTTTTTTGGACTATATTGATCATGGCTATTTTAAATTTCCCTATCTAATAACTCCACTATCTGAATCATTATGAGTCTGTTTCTACTGTTGGATTTGTCTCTAGGTTTCTCGTTAATTGGTCCTTTCAATTTTCTTTGGGGTACCTTGTAAGTTTTGATTAGATGCCAGACATCACAATGAAAATTTGGAAAGGCTCTAAATAATGTTATTTTCTTCCCAAGAAGGTCAGTTTTCTTCCCGCTGAAGATCAAATGTAGGAATCTTTAGGGCTGGTCTCTCTCAGTTTTGCCCTTACACCTAGGGTATGGTCTTAGCAGAAAGCATGGGGTGGTTACCAAGGCCTCTCTCTCCAACTTTGCAACTTTGGTTTCTCCAGCATCATATGCCTGCTGGAATCCTTTTTCAGTTCTGTAGCTTCCCAGATACTATTTTCTGCTGAGTTCCTTGGAGTCTCACCCTGTGCATGTACAGCTTGCCAATGACTTAAAGGAAATATGCAGATTTGGGGACTCCCTTTTCTGTGGTTTCATACGTTCCCGAACTCTACCTCTCATTCTTCAGACGCTCTGGCAGCCAGAAAGACTCTAACCCCTGGCTTCTCAGTCTAGCAATGATCTCTCTTATTTGGGTTTTATTTCCCCTTCACAGCAGTGAATTGGAAAGTGCACTCAAGGATAAAGCCAGCTTTCTGCATAACTCAATTTCTGTGCTTCCCTTATTTCAAAGATTGTAGCACCTCAAGGTCCTCTCTTCATTGGCTGCTCTCCAGTGACCTCGAGTAATTGTTTATAATTTGTCCAGCTTTTCTGGCTTTCACTGGCAGATTAGTCTGATACATGTGACTCCATCATGACCAGAACTGCAAACCCACCCCCATGTCTAATCCATCACTAAGTCCTGCTCATCTACCTGCTAAAGAGTTCTTAAAATCCACCCACTTCTCTCCATGAGCATGGTTGACATTCTAATGCAGTTACTCTCTTCTTCATCTGGACAACCTCACCCACCTCCAAGTTGGACTGCCCTCATCTACTTTCCCTCCATCATTGCTCTCCTCTGAGGTCAGAATCATTTGTTCAAAAGTACAAATCTGATCGTGACACTCTCTGCTTAAAATCCTTTTATGACCGGGGCGCCTGGATGACTCAGTCGATTGGGTGTCAGACTCTTGGTTTCCGCTCAGGTCATGATCTCATGGTTGTGGGATTGAACCTTCTCCCCTGCCCAACCCGTTGGCTCCACATTCAGTGGGGAGTCTGCTTGAGATTCTCTCTTTCCCTCTGCTCCTCCCCCTGCTCACACTCTTTCTCTCTCTCTCAAATAAATAAAAAAAAATCTTAAAAAAACCCACAAAAACCTTTGGGACACCTGGGTGGCTCAGTTGGTTAAGCATCTGACTCATAATTTTGGCTCAGGTTGCAATCTCATGGCTCATGATGTCAAGCCCTGCATCAGGCTTCTCACTCAGTGGGGAGTGTGCTTGAGATTCTCTCCCTCTGCCCCTCCCCCCACTTGTTGTGTGCTCTCCCTCTCAAATAAATAAATAAATCTAAAAAACAAACAAACCAACAAAAAAACCTCAACCCTTTTATGACCTCCCCCTGCCGCCCGTATGGTCTATATTCCTCACCACAACCTAGAAGGCCCTGTGTAATATGACCCTGCCAATTTCCAGCTCCTCTTGCCCTGTTTTTTCTTTCCTCCAGTCATACTACTTTCATCCACCTTTGGGCCTTGGTGTCTGTTGCTCTTCCTAGAAAACCCTTTCCACTGTCTTTTTTAACAGTCTGACTCCTGCTCATCCCTCAAGATCCAGCTTAGTTGTTGCTTCCTGGAGGAAAACTTCTTTGACCAGTTATCTCCCCTAGGGTCTCACAGCCCCTATTCTTCATTCATCCCAGCCCTGATCACTCTGGCCGCTGTTTCCCTTATCTCAGCCCTGAAAATTCTGGACGTGCTTCCCAACTACAGCTCTGGCCCCTCTCAGACCAGAGGTCTCATGGTCCTGACCCCTCTGCTTGTGCTTCTCCATCCTGGCTCTGACTAATCTGAGCAGTCACTGCTTGGTGATGGGTCTGTCACCCCCACTCCCACCCTACTGACTGTAATCCCATGCTAAGGCCCAAAGTGTCTTGGTCACTTCTATATCCCCAGTATCACATAAATACAGGATGTGGTTTTACCAACTATTCCAGTCGTCACAAGCAGGGTAAAATGGCCTGAGAAATGGAGGCTGATAATCGCTTTACCACTTATTAAATTACTGAATTGACAGCTGTGCTCTAAGCTTGCTGGTGGACCCTTGACCACTCCCAAGTCTCTCTTTAGAACCCTATGTCTCCAAGATCCATCAGCTAAAGAGGGGGGTCCAGGATTGATCAATGCCTTCTGCATTGACTGATATTGTTAAATCTTCTGAATATTATCTATGATTCGAACTTAGACTCGATTATCAGTGCTTTCCTTAAGCACATCTAACAGAAAGCTGAAGCCAGCGTCCCCTCTCTTGTCACTTCCTTGAAGATAAACATCTGATTCAGCCTCCGCCAAAAGACGAAAGTTTGAGGTCAGCATGGCTGAACGAGAAACAGGTTGCGTAGGTGCTCTGCTTACTTGCGTCACTGGGACGGGCCTGGCCTTAACCAATTTCCTTTCTTGCCAGGCCCAGAAAGAGGAATCTGCACACATGACCATGCAACATGGATTTGTGGCTTCCCACCCTCTCCTGTGGGAACTGGAGAACTTGAGCCTCTCTAAGTCTTTTTGTTAAACTGGCATTTGAGAGTCGGGGCTGGTGGGGACAGGATCAGGAGAATGATGCGTGCGGGGTTGGGGATCGTGAGGGCTGCCCAGCTCACCAGGGGTGGGTCGGTTGCACAAGTCAGTCCCACACAGGGTCTCTGTAAGAGTGATGATCTGCATGCCTGTCCGATAGCTCATGGTCCTGTTGCTCTTCTCTGGGTGGGCACAGCCTCTCTCCACCACCTCCAGCTCTTCACCTCCTGTGAAGAATGTATCTTTGTTACCCCAAAGGCTGCCCTGGACCCAACCAGCCTCTGATGCTTCTGGTCCTAAGGTCACCCTCTTCCAGGGCTGATCCTTGCCAGGCCTCTTCTCTGGGGTCCAGCTGTCTCCTCTCCTCGCCCTCCCACCACAGGGAGCCTACCCCTCTTAGTGACCACACTGTCACTGAGGCTGTCTGGATCCACCTACCCCTCCCTCCCAGCTTAGTGATTTTAGCAGGGAGATGCCTCTAATAGGAATCTTTAAAGGAAAAATGTTACAAGCTTGCCAAAAAGCATAAGAGAATGATACAATAAATAACTGTGCATTCATCACCAAATTTTATAAAATATTAGAAAATTTTGCTATATTTGTTTCAGATATTTTTTTTTTTTAAAGATTTTATTTATTTATTTGACAGAGAGAGACACAGTGAGAGCAGGATCACAAGCAGGGGGGGAGGGAGAGGGAGAAACAGGCTTCCCGTGGAGCAGGGAGCCCGATGCGGGGCTCGATCCCAGG